TTATTATTCAAAAATAGTTTAAACGATGTTCACCAGTTCTTGTGATGTACTAACAAGAGCAAACATCTTCCTAGATGGTATGGTTCCGCGAGAATTGGTACGAGGAGGTGTTGCGTCAGCTCCGCGCGGGGCTGGCCAAGTGCCACGTGGTGGCCTTCCATCACCGCGCCGCCGTGGCCGACGCCACCGTCACTCCACACACACTCAACTTCATCAAGAAAGTCGTCTCCACCTTCGGCATCGGTATTGGTATAAGTAAGTACCGCCCCAACCACCGCTGATAGGCATTCAAATTTTTTTCTACTTTCTGTCTATGGTACAAATCACTACGTCACGGATTAGGTACACCGTAGACACTTCAAGTTTATAATACGGTAGTTTCCAACTAGTCAAATTCAATACTTTTATCCAAACGCCAAAAACGATACTTTTCTGTGAAGTTTATATGAAAAACTGAGTATGATGTCATAAAATTTTTGCGTCAAATAGCTTACTTATTTCTTAATAATTAGCTAAAAAAAATCTAAAACTTAGTGTATCGATTGATCGATGAATAATAGTATAGTTATTTTTCAATATTTTATTGTATTGAAACATCGAATTTATTTTTGATTTAGGAAATTACTCAGTTCTTACATCTTGTTGTCAAGCCTTGCTATTCCCTATCAAGATGGTGTATTGAAAAAAGTGATGCATATCTAAATTTAAAAATAAACTTAACAAAAACAATCTCTTTCAAAAGCAGTTATATATTACAAATTCCTCAAATGAGACTACAACATTTTATCGTCTTCATCAGTTATAATTCACTCATTCGCTCATGAAACACAATAACATACAATTTATTTCAGAGATATAGTAACATACCGTACAGTGCGTTTTGCTGTGCGATTGTATCTTGACATGACATACAGGTAACAAAAACAGTATTTGTTGACGTTCACATGTAGTCTAGCACTAACCTCGATTTATTTTGAGTTCATTCGGAATATATAACTGATGTCGTGCCCCCAGCGAGTGTCACTTTATACAGATACTCCATTTTGTATGTCTACAGAAAGTATTTCTACAAGTTCTGTAAGTGCTGCATTCTCTTCAGCTGCCTCAGAGAGCCTCGCCCGGCGCGCGCAGGCCACCGTGCAAGACCCAGTCTTCCAGAAGATGAAAACACAGTTCACCGCAGACTTCGACTTTTCGCAGCCTAACGCTATGAAATTACAAAACCTTATTCAAAAACTGAGGAAATGGGTCAAGATTCTCGAGGCTAAAACTAAGGTTCTGCCCAAGTAAGTAGTTCAGTCAGGCTTTGCGTCCTCTCCGTTAAGGTAAATACAAAGGAGATTTATATTACGATTGTGCCGTCCATTATAACTAGACTAGCCTCACAGTCATCCACAATCTAACTCATATCGTAACTCAAGGGTTGTGGCTTAATGCTTACTCACATCAAATGCTTTCTGGAACATACTAAAAAACTACACTAGGCCATCATCCATCACTAACAGAGGAACTGAAACTTAAATAATTTACAATATCTAATTGTTCTTATTTTTACTTTTGCAGATCATTCCTCATCGAAGAGAAATGTAGGTTCTTGTCCAACTTCAGCTTGAAGACTGCAGAAGTGGAGTTACCTGGCGAGTTCTTGCTTCCCAAACACACGCATTACCACGTACGAATCGCAAGATTCATGCCACGCGTTGAGATTGTACAGAAACACAATACTTCGGCTCGTAGACTGTACATCCGCGGACATAACGGCAAGATATACCCATACCTAGTCGTCAATGATTCAGGATTGGGTGATGCGAGGAGGGAAGAACGAGTTTTACAACTTTTAAGAATGCTAAACCATTATTTAGGAAAACAAAAGGAAACGTCGAGGAGATTTTTGCATTTCACCGTACCGCGAGTCGTTTCAGTGTCGCCACAAATGCGTCTTGTGGAAGACAATCCCAGTTCGATTTCGCTGCTGGACATTTACCGTACTGAGTGTGCTAACAGGTATGGTGTGAAAATTCGATTTAAAACTCCTTAAAAATTCATGCATTAGACCAATTATCAATGTTCTTGGTTTTTTTGTAGGGGTGTGGAATACGATGCTCCAGTCGCTCGATACTATGAACGTCTCGCTGCAGTACAAGCCCGAGGTTCACAAGCTTCGCACCAAGTCCTACGCGATATTCTCCGCGAAGTAAGTTTTGAAATACCTCGCAATTAGTTCTGCTATTTTAATTTTGTAACAAAGGAAAGGGCTATATCGGTTCTTGTGTTGTTAAAAGGCTAATAGTTCAAACCGACTTAATAGTGTAACTATTAAATTAGCAACTTTATTGCATAGAAGGGGTTAGAACATGTCCGCGCATAATGAAGACAATTAATCGATTAGACATGGCGCACCTGCGCTGGGTTACTAATAATAATTAATTTTGTAATTTAGGTGCAAGCTACGATGGTGCCGAAAGGAATGCTCCGTGAGTGGGCGGCGGCGACATTCTCAGCGCCGACAGACTACTGGACGTTCAGGAAGATGCTGACGCTGCAGCTGTCGCTGGCCAGCTTCGCGGAGTACGTTCTGCATCTCACCAGGCTCAACCCTGACATGATGTATGTGCACCAGGACTCAGGGTTGCTCAACGTCTCCTACTATAAGTTCGACGTGGACGATATCACAGGTATGCTACGTTTTCATTCCTAGTGTCCATGTTTTTCCTTTGTAATCAAGTTTTAGTTGAGTTTCAGTTGTCAATGGTTCTGGGTAAGAATTTACATTCGGTATTTCTTTGTCTGTAGTTCCCTTGTATTAAGTCTCCTTATTTATCTGAATGAGTGCATTATATTTGCGGTTCATCCACAGGTGAATTGGACTGCAATCGACCGGTCCCGTTCCGACTCACGCCGAATATCTCCGAGCTGCTGACGACTATAGGCATCACGGGTCCACTCACGGCCTCGGCTATCGCCGTTGCTAGGTGTCTAGTCACACCTAATTTTAAGGTAAAATTACGAACTAACTATCTAGTATTTCAAAGTATCACCATTGTTTCTAACGAAAAATTTCTTTCAGATCCAATCAATCCTTCGCACTATACTCCGAGACGAAATGATCACCGGATGCAGAAAGCGCTTAGAGGATAAGTCAGGGCTGCCCACACCAGGCGCTTCAACCGAGAACAAGTTAATGGAGATGGACGAAGAAACTGTTATAAATATGGTTAACAAAGCTGTTACCGTGATAATGAACCGACTGAACTCTATGGCGAGTTTCGACGGGCCTGACAGTAAGGTTGCCACCTTAGTGACGGCGGCAAACAGCCATGATAACCTGTGCCGCATGGACCCAGCCTGGCACCCTTGGCTATAGACTGCTCATTACTATATCACCTTCACATATTTTATGTCGATATTTAGATTATTGTCGTATTTTGATAAATATGGTAAATTCTTTTACATTCAGGAATTTTTATGTAGATAGTTGAAGTGTAAGTACTGATTTATACATAAGTTTTTACGAAGTACATAGGATTTTGAATTATCCTAAACTCACAATTAATTTACATATAAATTTCTATTGCACTGTGTCATTAATGTATTACTATTTGTGGGTACTACATGCTGACGTTGCTTTATTATTTGTTAATTTCTTTTAAGTTTTGCCTTTAAAAATCTTCGTAGAAGATTAATTATTAGAATCTAATTATCCTCCTCACAGGATGTCTCTCTCATTAGTCTACGTGAATTCTACGTAGTCCTCAGTAGAAACAGTGTAATGTTTGTCTTTCTGATAAGCTCTACTGACTTGTACGCGTTCATTCGCAATTATTCGTGTAACATGAACAATTACTTACAATCATGCAGGTACCTTTTGCGAGTGAAATAATACTAGAAATAGGCATAAGTAACATTTTGTTGATATAAATATAAGTGGTACGTTCTGTGATCTCTAAAAACGAGAAGTATTAAAAATGAACGAGAATTGAATGGTTGTTTTAATTTTGCCAGCTTGACCATTAAACCTGTTTTTGATGAGTGTGCAGTGTGACATAGATGAAACGTAGCTCGTGATTGCATGTGCATGAGTGACAGGTAAGTACCTGGATGGGTGAAAGTACCGGGACGGCATCAAGTGCGCGACTAGCGACTAATAACCGTGCCTGCGCTGCGCCGCGCCACCACAATCTCACTCGATCGCTAGAGATAGTAAAACTGATTTCATCACGCTAACAATGGGAAAGAAAGTGCAGTAATTGTAGGATAGATCAGGAACTGTTTACATAGTTATCCGCTGCGCGAATGTCTGCTATAACTATTGTTATTAAAATATTGTATTGCCATCTCTCAGAACGATTGATCATCTTGCTGTAACATCGAGTGTTTATAATATTATAACCGATTTAGTTCTATAAGCTAAATAGTGATATCACAAAAATTAATACATTTAGTTTTCGACACAAACTTTAATGCAACAATGAAAATAATGTTCATGCGCAGTTTTCGTAAAACATGTTGAGGTATTCCATATTTACGGTAGTACATAACAGCTGATGGTTTTTTGTGATCATCTCCTTACAATGATGGTATATAATGGTATCTGTTTAGTTTGTTATTGTTTTACGTACGAGTACATTGATACTAATGAGTGGCTTTCCGTTGCTATATCGTTGTTTCTCTATTACCTCAACAATTGCAATAAAAGCAATAGATTTGAGTTTAAAAACTCAAGATACGATAGAAGGGTTTTATCCCCCTGAATCTGTGTTTATTACACGTGGGACCTAGGCAGTGCCAGGGCCTAGTGTATCCAAATTTTCCCGATATTGAAACAAGTGGGTGGCACAAGACGTGTCGTTGGAACAGACATGTCAGAGATGAGGTCGCCGCCGCCGCCGGGTGTCTCGGCGTCGTGGTGGTTGCTAAGGCCGCGGAGGGCGGCGGGCGCCGGGCGGCCACGTCGCTGGCCGGCGCGCGCCGCCTCGCTCCTCGCTCCTCGCGCCGCGCCTCCCGCCGCCGCGAGCTCCGTCAGTCCGCCGAGCGGCGTTGCGTTATGCGCTGGTGTATTTGATGTTCCCGAGCCCGAACGGCGAGTGTCCGACCTCTGTAACCGACCGTTTATGACATTCGACAACCCCGCCCTGTGCATTTTTCCGAGTTGCATTTCGATCAGTGCGAAGAGTACGTCGGCTGCGAGCGATCCGTGCCGGTGTCGGCAGCTCCTCCCGCGTTTATTTATGTTGTCGTTTTGGTGTGGTGAATATTTGTGTTGTACGGACGATAACCGTATTATCTGTGCGATCGAGTCGAGTGGATATTTTTAACGATCGACGGTTTTTCGCGAAGGTGAGTGAAATTTCCGATTCTGCGAATATTTTTCAATTGACGGGACGTTTGTTTGATTCGCCGCTACGTGGCGATCGTCTCGTCGATATGCTCCGCAACATCAGGGATTGTATACAGAGTACCTACCTACCTAGTTTGTGATGTAGCACGAATATAGTCACTTCTTTATTAAGCCACGTCAAGATCTGCATGATTATTCTAACGACACATCTTGTCACATTTGAAAACCTGTTGTCTCTATAAAAATTGTACATGAAAATGTCAGGCTTAGCAGCACGATAACCATTTCAACGTGATTCAGTCCGTATCATATCGATGTGATTTTGTTTATTATTATTTTTTGAGGATAAGGTGCGTATTAGATTCTTATTAGATTCGGTCCTATCCCACTACACCATATGGTAGACGGAAGCGAGTGGGTAAGAAATGATGGAGGTGAGAGGCGCGGGGCGGTGCGCGGCCGGTCGAGCGACCGCATTCCATATGGAATGCCGGATTATACGCAATGTCAGTGTGACTCGAAGCTGGCTGCCTCCATTGCACTGACCATTACATATTTGCAACTATGTTTGCTAACTCAAGTTCTGCGTTTTATAGATGAAATTACGCTTGGACGACGTTATAAATTGCGTCGCTGATTGACATTACGGCGCAAGTCTCTTTATGCCCACACGTAAATATGTTTAACCAGCTTCATTTATTGTATGAAGAGGCACGAGTGTGTGTGAGTTTAAAACGAGATGACACCTATTGCGTGTTATAAAAACCATTTCTTAGAAGATATAATAGAATAAGTATTTCCAATATGTCAATTTAGCTACCCAGAAACTATCAATCTATAGCCCCCTAAATTGTTCATCAATACTTATTGAATGTCATGTCTATCTTCATATAATTGTTTCTGTTATTTCAAATTTAATGTTACGCAGACAATGGCCGGACTTGCAATGTTTTTAGTTGTTTATAAAAATTATTGATACATCGCGATTTATAGTCATCCTCTCGAACAATCTATAAAAAGTTAATACTCAATTCATACGATTAAACGTAACTTGAATGCAATGATAATTTTATAATTTAATTTGTTTATGGTATGGTAATACTAGTAATAAATATTGTTTGTACCGATATCGATAGTAGAGGTAGTAATGACAATACCGAGGAATATACTTTGTTATTTATCTATGAACTATGGGCCAACCTGTTACCAATTGATAAGCAAAGTCCCACAGCGTTTGGCAATAGTCCCTGCTTTGGCCCGCTAGCAAGGGGCCCTGTAAACCCTTGATAAATTATTATCTCAGTGACATTACTCGTGATCTCACATAATGAGTATAATGAGTTCGATAGTGCGTGCTATATTTCGAAACACGTCCGTCGTCGCTTCCGCTGTGTGACCCACAATTTATAACAAACTTTTAGGTGTATGTACCTATCTAAGTAGCTAAAGTCTATAAAGCAAAGCGAGAAGTAATGTATCCTGGTAGACGTGGTGTAACAGATTTGTGGAATTCCCGTCTGGTTGGAGAACTTGTATATCTTACCTTTCAGAATGAGTCATTAATCATTTGTAGTGAATATCATGCACAGGAATGCAACTTTTGCGAACTTCAGGGTTTTCATGTTCTTGAGTATCTATTTTCAATAGGTAAGTACCTATAAATTATACATTTGACAATCTTTTCTTAACTTTTGATATTGGCTATGAAGCACTCTATCTAACGTCTACATGTTTTAGTCGATTATTAGTGTAATAAATTAGTAACGTAATAGTTCATCTAAAGTTCTTTTCCATTATCATCATCCTCTCAGCATAGGTACCTAAGCTACCAAATTCATTATCGTGTACGCGTAGTGTAGTGTCCGGTTGTCGGGTCAAATTCACACAATCATGGTGACCTTTAATCTTGTTTCAGATAGCTAAAACACGTTCCTTTGTGTCAATTCTCGGAATTGGTATCATGTATTATTGTTTACATACAGCAAAGATACTTACTTGACCTTTTTTATTGGTACTATTGGCCAAACCTGAAAGCTAATCGACTATAATAGTGATAGTGGTTTTAGTACAGAAACAATCTCTTGTTCCAAGTACAGTATTTCATACATACGAGTGTGAAGCTGCCTTTTTAACCTTTTCAAATCGATTTACAAACTAGCACGGAGTCTAGGTAGTACCACGCGGGTCCTTGACATTATAGACAACTTTTAATTTTATGATTCAAAATGTCACTAGTTGTTCGTCCAGAAACACCACATTTGGGCAGATATTTGCGTTGAGTCATTTGCAGTGTCGTGTTTATCTTCTTATATATAAAAATGGATCGCAAAATGTGTTGTAAGCGCATAACTCAATAACGCCTGGACCAATTTGGCCAATTCTTTTTTTAAGATGTTTGTTATGGTCAGGAGAAGGTTCTTATGAAAGAAAATTTTAGAAAAGTAGAGGGGAGAGTTGGGTAATAGGGACCCTTTCATCGTAAGCGAGATGATGAGACCCGTGCGAAGCAGGGGCGAACTGCTAGTTATTCTTAAATATTATATTGTACTAAATCGGTAATTTTACAATGTTGAAGAATCTGCAGTTTGCATTAGAAGGATTGGTGTCTGTTTATTCTTGTTCTACATACAAAAAAGTTGTCAAGTAAAATTTAGGAAATCTCTTTGAGACTGAATTTTCAAATGGCTGTTACGTAGTTTCCTAACTCGATTATATAATAACTCGACTGGGAAGTTAATCAACCCGGTTATGACAATGAGCATACTGCACCGAGATTAGATACATAATTTATTCTAATAGATAGCGCGAGTATGCGATCATTACAAAATATCTCGTTATCAGAACACAGGCCTGTGTTAAAGCGGGTTTTATCATTGTGGTTTTAATATGGGATAAGGAAGTTTAATTACATTAGGAATTGGCTAAATTTGGTCATCTAGGACGCGAGACCGATATTGTAATATAACATTTTATCAACTTAAGTATATCTTTGCGAATGCTTATTGTCGAATGAAATTAATCACTTGCCTTCTTCATTAACTAAACTAGGACCATCGTCTGGTATTTTCTAAAAGTAATAATACATGAATAGACACTCCTAGCAGACGCCTTTCGATTTACCGGACAACACTATTAGCCGCAATAAACACATACTAAATTGAATTACTTTCAATTACCAGTAAATCGGTTAGGATGTCATCTTGCGATGCGAGATGCAGTCTTTCCTGTTGTAACAAATAGCCTTGAGGGCCATTTGAATTTAAGTAGGTACTTTAAAAAAACAATTTTAACTGTGCAACTTTCATAATGCATTTCATCAACGCCACTACTAATAGCAGTGCGCTAAATTTTGTAAGGTGAATGAAGATATGATCGTCAGTGTTAGTGATGAAATCTTGAAGAGATATAATCGCATTCCGCGGCTTGCCTCCCCTCTCTGCGGCGCAGTCGCGGTGTTGCATACCGACCGACGACGTCGCTGCACTCTTATGTGGGTTGCCTTGCACTTTACGCCGGAGCTCTTGTGCATCATCTACTTTTAGTACGTTGCCAGTTGCTATTTGTTTTACATATTTAGCACCTTCCAACATTTCGACCTTTTTATTGAAAATTTGTCAAAAGTAACATTATGAGGTGCTGTAATGAATGTTAAGTATGAAAATATTATGACATTGATGACAAGATCTGAGGAGTGGCGGGGCCTTGCTAGATGATGTATAGGTAGAGGATAGCGGGTAACGGTTCTGTCATGTTTGCAGAGGCACGGGTGTGGGCCCGTGTGTGCGTCCGCGCGCGGCTCACTCAGTCACACAGGCGCAAAGCGCTCACGGCGTAGCGCGGCCGTTGAACCGAATACTCGAGGAATTTCTCCAACGCCGCAGTCGCTTTGCTTTGCAGAAGAAGAAAATTATTGCAGGTGGTAGCTTGTGCGAGTACTAATGATGACACATGTTTATCCTCATTATGGATTAGAGTCGTCGTTGTATAGGAGGTTCATGTTATTTTACTGAACGATTCGTTCCACTTCTGTTTCCTACAAATTGAATGGGTACCTTTGTGTTCGTTAAAGGTCTAAAATCGTTTCCTTACGCTAGGATAGTAAAGCATGTTGCTGTCGGTGTATTGTATTGAAGTAACTAGTGGAGGCGCTTCAAAGGTTACCGTCGGTAGGATCATGGTTCTCTATGATTTGGAATGACGCAGCTGTACCACTTATTATTACAGTCACAATTTAGTAGTTGGTAAGTACCAATTTGTCGTAGACACGTGTGCGGCTGATCTCGCAATAGCCGGCATACCGGGCCAGGGCGCGGTCTGCCAATGGGCTCTCGAAACGCGAATAAATTTTATGTGACACATATATTCTGTTACAGTTTCCACTACCAAACTTCTTGATAAATGCCCGCTTTGTTTTGAATATCTATAAATTAGTTTCTTTTCTAGCTAATTTAGTTATTTTTATTAGTAAAACAGCCTGAGGACAAGAAACAGATGCGACAATGGAGCAGCAATTAGTCAAGCGATTGTATTCACAGTGATTGCGTCTAGTTGTCTGAAACACGTTTGTTTTGTTTTAATTATTCAAACGTTGTACAATTTGAAAATCGCTTGTTTTGTAAGGAATGTCGCATTTCTCTTTTGTCATTTAAAAATGTATGTATTTAAAATTTTACAAAACTACTTAATGTAATGACAAAAGCTTTCATGTTTAGCTTTAATATAAATACCTACATATTATGATCTACGATCAAGACTTAAATAAAAGCAGCTCCAAGAGTATGAATCTAGCATTACATAAACAAAAAGCGATTTATTTTTTACGTAAGCGTTTGGTAAATATGTACAGACACAGACAGACAAGCGGTAATGTTTTATTGAATAGGCAATCACAATCTGTTTTCCTTATGTGGTTAACAAATTTCTTAAAATTAATTCCAACGTTTCCTAGTACACACCGGTTTAAAAAAAAACTTGCTACCTAAGTATTGAATGCTACTTA